CTCCTTGCTCAGCATGTTGTGTTCTTTCAAGCGTGATGCCAGCAATTCGGATTTCTCCTTCGATAAGTCGAGATCTCGCACCAAATCATTAAATTCGGATTGTGTAAACAGTTTTGGGCTTCTTTCCAATTCCACCTCGAAGTCTTCCTCGCATTCCTCCTTAAATTCCTCCTCACTTTTTGTAACGGTCGATTCAACAGAGGGCGCTCGTTTCCACTTTGGATAAACAGGATACGGGACCGAACCTGAATGTGGAACAGGTTTTGTCATAGAAGCCACTTGTGGATACTCAACTGTTTTGTGACGTCCTTGTTGCTTAACTTTTGTCAAGCAGAAATAACAATCCGTTGCACGACAAAACGGTCGACGCCATATGGTGGGCATGTCAAAGGACAAATAGCGACTGACAGATAACAAATAAGTGAGTTAGTAAGTAAGACATTAACACTTATCAAAAATAGATGAAGTAAGATAATGTCGATCAGGAAAGAAGAAAGCACTACCATGCTGTACATAAATTGTTTATATGAAAGTTATTCAAAAAATCAATTTACCTTGCGCCTGACATCCACCTAGCCAAGCACGTTTTGCACGAACTACATAATGCTTTTGGAATCCACGGTTCGTCAAAGTCTCCAGGATCAATTTTAAAATAAAGCCTGTATGCAGTTTACAACGAAGCAGTGAAATTGATCGATTTTGTAAATATATAGTTGCCACACGCGTAACAAAACTTTTGAGGATCATTTTTACACTTGAATTCACGTTTTGTCGTATACATCGTTAAGCAATGTTAAAGAAAGAAAGCTGTCAAATTGAGTTGGTTGCGTTAGGTTCTCGCCGAGCGGTCTCACAAACACTAGCGTAAATTATGTTGTTGAAAATATCCCATTTAATTTTGCGTGACAGCTGGTAGTGTTAGTGAAATGCACCGTATGCGTACACGTCCGCAGAAAGGCTTACTGGAAGTGGTGCATGAACCTAGGAGCGGGACAACGGCCAATCTTGGAACATTCAATTACCATGATTTTACAAAAAATTTCATAACTTCGACAATTTCCAACCGATTTCATCCATTAAAGGCTCATTTTCTCCAGTTTTTAATGGACTTTAAGAATAAATTATGGAATGATTTTTTGAATCTTTTTATCCCATTAAAAATGTTGATTAAAACAAGATTTTTATGGAAAATTCGCAGGAAAAATAAAAAAAAAATGCTGTAAATTTTTAAATGACTTCAAAATTAAATTTTTAATTAAGACATAATATTCTAGTGAACGATAGCAAATTTATTTAGCTTCACTTTCATAAAAAAAGATTTAAAATTGGTGCACTAGTTCCAAAGATATTGACATTTTAGTAATCGTACTTTTGTCCAAAATTCAAAAAATCAAAATTTAGGGATATCTCAAAAATGGCTCTACTTTAATTTTTTCTGACCACGGCATTGAATTCAGCGTAGGATTTTGCATTAGAAACGTTAGTCAACCACTAAAGTTCACACTTTTTATGTTGTTTTGTAAACTAGTGTTATCGACGTAACTTTATGCAGTCCGCCGCTGGTGCCGAACATGAACTGGAGAGTGTGCGAAGGCAACTATCAGGCGATCCGGTATAGCTTCGGCCAACGTAATCTTGTGGCAGTATAGAAGACGAGAACTTGTGAGCGAAAGTGGAAGACGAAAGCATTCTACAAGGATCTTTTCGTTGAAGCACTCCGAGTAGACAGTGGTCGCTCGGACCTATATGCAGACGAGTTGACGGAAATGTTAGTGGTGCTGAGTGCTTAGAAGTGCCAGGCCGGTGTTAGTTCAGCGATAGAATGGTTGTAGGAGACAAGAGGAATCAGTGTGAGATCACAGATTGCATCGAGACTACATTGCATACCTCCACGCCGAAGTGCAACGGCGGTGCTTTCCGAACCGACCTCTACACTCAACAGTGATAGATCTAGAAGAAACCGACGTCTATGAGGAACGGCTGTGTGTCAATCGTGTCAAGGATCGACGCATTCGAGGTAGTGCACGTTTTTGACACGGTGTATATACCTGCGCGTTCTGAATTATCAGCGACGGTTGCGTGGCTTCAGCAACAACATAAGCATCAGCAGTAACGACATCGATGACATCAGAAGCAGTGCGATGGCAGTATATCCAAGAGGGTGGTATACGTGAAGTAACTGACAGGCAAGATAGGGTAGTCAGTAAGACCTTCATTGAAGTTATATGATTATACGAAGATGTCAAGCGTATTTCTCGATTCTCTCGCCTTTTCTTCTGGCCACCTGAGTGAGCATTTTAAGCACTGATAGAGTGCCATAGTCGGGCAAGGACGTAAATATGTAACTGTAAGGCTCAATTATCCAATTGAGTAAGACCAGATAACATTTGAGTTTATTATTGCGAGTTGAGAGTAGAGGACCGAATTCCTTCATTGTTTGGTACTTTATTAAAGTTCTGAAAACTTTAGTAAAACTTGGACAACTTAAGAGTTGCAGAAACTTTCCAAAAACAAAGTCCAGAAAACTTCAAAGAAGTTGGGAGTCCCATGAACGTCAGCAAATTGCGGAAACTTAAATAAAGTTCTGAGAACTTATGGAAAATTTTATAACTATTTATTAGTTCTATTGACATAAAACAAATTCCGCGAACCTTCAGGAAGTTCTGAGAATTTCATTTAAATCCAAAAATTTAAATGAAGCTTCAACAACTTTAAGAACGTCCAGAACCACATGGAAGTTTTAAGATCTTTAGAGTAAGTTCCGACAGCATTAGGGCAATTCCATGAACCTCAAGGAATTATTACAAACATCAGGAATTTAACGGGAGCTTCAGGATGGATCAACGAATTTCAGAGAAATTATTTTCAGGAAAATTTCGTGAACTTTTTCATAGTTCTGGAAAAATAATGGAAGTCTAGAGAATATTATTGAAGATCAGAAGTCTTTAGGAGCGATCCAATGGCTTCAAGAAAGTTGAGTTTCTGAAAAATTATATATATTTAAGTTTTATGGTGTGCTAATACAGACAGGTTTACCCGTACCCTTGTTTTCATTAGAGAGAATTAAATTGTGTACACACTAATCGAGTCAGTACGGTTTTACTGAGTTTTTGAATTGCGGAACTGTTGGGTAAAAGTTTAAAAATCTGTGGAAAATTTATTAATGAGAAAAAAAATTCTGAACTTGTACATACTTAGTTCTGTTAACCCCATTTAATGATAGAAAATATAATTGGTCGATTACATTGATTCCTTACGGATAACGGTCATTTGAGCCGGTGCCGGTGGTGTAGTGGTAAGCGTGACTGCTTTCTAACACCCCAATGGGTCTGGGTTCAATCCCAGCCGAGGTCGGTGGGATTTTTCTGAGGCATAAAAATCTCTGGTCACGTCTTCCTTCGGAAGGGAAGTAAAGCCGTTGGTCCCGGCCCATGTGTGTTGTGAATGGGTGCGATATCCTACGCAGGTGTGGAAGCTGTCTTCCTGCACATTCGGTTGCCGTCAATGGATGGCAATCGATGTCCGTCGGTGATTGGCACTAGATTGCGGAACAGAGACCGACGTTAAATAAAGGAAAGAAAAAAAAAACGGTCATTTGAATTTTTACCGACTTTTTTAGCAATTCAAAAACCCAGTAAAAAAATACTGACTCCTGTAAAAAAAATCTTATTGTGTATACATACCATATTTACAATTCATCTGTAATACTAGAAAAGATATGGTCCAAAAATATTGAAAAAATATTTATTGGAAAAATACCTAAATTCAAATTGCCGTGTTTTAACGAAATTTCAAATGGTTTGTATAGTAAATTTAGTGGACTTTCTGTTTGAATTATCATACTTTTTTGGAGGGTGGATCTCTCTGGGGTCATTGTAAATATATACCCATGAAGTGGTATGTTCTGCTGTAAGAGATGTTTATAACGGGTGTTCAATAAAAAATGAGAATGATTTCAATACCTTTCTGTAATTAAAGTGAGAGCATCGTGACTAAGTTGCGTCGTTCGGCTGACCAGGGTCCCTGCTCCAATATTCATTGACGTTTTTTTGAAGAATAAACATTATGTTTTTAATAAAAAATACTGAATTCGTTGAAAAAAAAATTCCTCTACTGGCTATATGATTGAAAAAATTCTCATTTTTTATTGAACACCTTATGCTTCCTTAGGCAAAGATTTTTTTGAAATAGAAGGTCTTCAAACCTAAGGATAGTTTATGACAACATTTACTCACAAGATGGCACTATAACGAAAATGATCAAGGGGCGCCTTCTAAATACACATAATATAAAGATATCTACAGATCCTACTTACATGGATGGCTCTCGTCTTGAGCAAAATTGTTTAGATGGACAAAACCTAACCTGAGGTAAAGAGTTTAGTTCAGAATTCACGCATAAGGCAGCGCTAGTGTGACATTCATATTGGGTTGTTTGCCCCAACCTAACATATCTACTAAATAAAATGTTACCTTCTTCGGTAAAGTTGTTCAGATGGACAAGAGGTAAGGAGTTTAGTTCAGAACTCACTCATCAGGCATCGCTAGTATGACATTTATTTTGAGTTGCTTGCCATAACTAAACATCTTGACTAGATGGATAAATTTTCTGTATTTTATCCTAATGCACACATGGAGACAATATGAATGTCACACTAGACTCCATAATATTTCATAGTGCATAAATATGGGTACAATACAGAAATTTCATATTTTTTTAAAAAGGTTGAAACAATGCGTATAAAATGTGTGTTGTAAAATTCATATAAAATAAAAATAAACAAAGCTGATAAGCTCGCTAAGCTGTTTGTGACTACCTGATTCGACAGTCATAGAATGCGTTTAAATTTATATTATACTGTAAAAAAATAACGGTGATTTAACTTCAACATATAGCTACGGCTTCCATTTTAACTTACCCGCATTTAAACTTGTCACGATGTACCTTAAACGAATTCAACTCAATAATATGATCAAGGAGCAAATCAAACAAAAAAAATATTTCACATTTCACGTTTATTTTAAATCCATGGCTAGATTTTATCCGCTTTACTTTACCAACTCATATATTTCTTTTCAACTTTTCTAGCTCCACGTTTCTCATGACGGATAAATCAGACTTTGTGGTGAATCTTGCGCTATAAATTAAATTTCTTTGATTTTAGTTCGATGGATTACCATTCGTTTTAATTTCAGCTTGTTTGTTTTAAATGCGCCACACTGCTTTCAACAGTATAGTTTTCCAAAAGCTTATTTCGAATAATTTTAAAATCGCAAAATGGAAGTCTATGGTTTGTGGGATTTACGGTACTCAATCTAGGTTATGGTTTCTAAATTCATATTTGGATTGGTTTTTTGTTCTATACATTCGAGATGCTTCTCCAAAATTCATGGCAGTTTTACTCTTGTTTGCAATTGATTTATCATTCAGCTTAAGCTATAAAGTCGCCATAATTCAATGTTTGATGTAAATGTGGGTCTATTCAACTCTTGTCAACATTACTAATAGAAACAGTAATGATAGTGAATGATTTTAATTCATAGTTCTACAAATTATTTTTTACGCAACCTAAGGAAATTTACATTTAAGTCAGTACAGTTTTCTTATTTTACATACAGTTTGTGATTCCATGTAGTTTGTTTTAATATCATCCCTTGGATAGTGTTATGCATTAAAGGTTTTTAGGATTGTATGAAATACTAGTTACAATAAGTAACTGGGGAGTGCTGTCTGTAGAACAGAAAAAGAAACATTTACAATGGAGCACAATCGCCACAGAGTACTGTGGAATATATTAAACAATAAATCAACTTTGAGCAGCTAGATGCCATTGTTCAAAGTTGCTTTGAAAAAGTTCATATATCAATTTTATATTCCTCGTTGATATAGTTAAAACGTAAACATTTCTGCAATCAGTTTATCTTCTGTGGAAATGTAAATTCTCAATTCACTTTTAAACTAATCTAACTTCTTGAGTCGTTACTCTCACTAAAGCTTTCACTTGAATCGTGCCGGCTAACAGTCGATTTAGGCTTATATTCAGTAATAACTACGGTTACCGAGTTAACTGTAACTTCACGGGTTTGTCCACTAGATCGATCAATATTTTTCAACCTCGCAGGGTACTTGGACCGCTTGTTTTTGTTACGCGATGATTTACTCCCTGGCGACTTAGTGTTTTGTGCTGGAGCTCCTGATGCACCCGGGAATGCCTGAGTTGCCGCCTGTTGTGCCACCAAAGCTGAGTTCAGCCGGGGCTTGCGGGTCGATGTGCCTGGAACCGAGTAAACTGAAATTAATTATAATGCATTATCTTCTGTTCTGCAGTATTAATACATAAATTTACACGTCTCGAAAACAAGATTGTATTGAGTATCAACCTGTAAATTTTGAACAATTAAAAATAAAGCACATTCCTTTTAAATTAGTTGCCACGATTTCTAATGACACTCAAAAGTGTCTTAATAGTATTAATGTATTGATTGGAAAATTGATACACAAGTCATTCTTCATTTTGACGAGATGAATTTCATCTACCTTTTCGTACGTCACACATTAAGCACTTGAACGCTTCTGCTGTGTTTCTATAAGTGCAGACACTACAGTCCCAAAAATTTTCTTCTACTACTTTTGATTGACGTTTTGCGCGGCGTATTGGAGATTTATTCTTATCCATTGCTTTCATACAATGTAAAAATAACTTCAATAATCGTTTGGGGATTAGTTTAAACGCAAAATTGGAACCATTTTAGCGACAAAATCGTGTTTTCGGTAGATTTTTTTCAGATTTTTCACTGCCTTTTGATGATGGCTGCAACAAATGTCACTTTCTGCTTTTTCTTTCTTTTACAAGTTACAAATACCCGGTTTAGCATTAGGACGACTGCATACTATAGGTGAGACAAAACTATGATTGTAGTGGTGCGGTTGGCAGATATCGTTACTGGTAATAAAACAATAAAAGTAAATAATGTCACCTTGCGACTGGGAGTTAAATAGAACATAATCAAATTTAACTTGTCCAATGCTCAGAAATAATCTAAATTTAAATTCTGTGAGAGCAAGAGCTGATCTTCATCATATTAAATTTTATACACAGTAAAAATTCAGATAGCATACCTATCGCTGAGTTGTCTTGGTTTTTACAGACAAGTCTTCTAATAGTACGTTCATAGTACGTTCAAACGCTGTCCAGACTGGAGAGTTATAACCTACCCTAATAAAAATTGTATGGTTAATTTGCTTAACGACGTGTTCTGGGTATCATCCAAACCATTTATGGAATAGTTCAATGATTTGGGTTATCGTTCGTTTATGGTTATTTTTTATTAGGGTATCTTGATGTTGGTTTCTGTGTTGCAATTATTTGACAACCGTTATAACATGTTATAACTCTCCAGTCTGTATTGCGTTTAAGAAGTTAGTTCTTGCTCACTAATTAAAACATACCCATAGCTTTATTAGCGATATTTTTAGTTCGTTGACTAGTTCATCTCGTATTGTATACAAATTCGTTGGGATGGTTTTATACATTTTCTATCAAAAAGAAAGCTAGTTGAACTTTAAAATTAAATAATCGCTGGTATTCCATTTATGATAATATGGGGGGAAAATAAGCCATCGTAATATAGTGGAATATTATATGAAGCTCATAGTTCATCTTTTCCTTTTTAAATATTCTTCAATCATCATCTTTAGTATACACATATATGTATACATTCACACACTAGACATCTGAAAATTCAAATCAAAGAGAGGAAATGAATGTAGTGTCGGCCTGAATGCCCCTTATTTGGGCCCATACATAAATTATGCAATCAACTAAATCCATAAGTACCGTCCCAATGACGCGTTCATCTAGATAAAATTGATGAATAGCAGATTTTTAGCGATGGGCCCAATATTAGATCCATAAGCCAACATTAGAGCTATTTACCGACTTAAAATTATTGAATTAAACACAAACAGGGGAGATGGCAACAGTGCATGTAACCTGACATTCGCTTTCCCGCTCACACGCTAACTTTAAAGTACCCATTAATGAGTAAAAAAAGACCCATTTTGAAGAAAAGTGGCTTAACTCATTAAATGAGTAAAACCAACTTTACTCATTAATGAGTATTCAATGGATACGTCACAAAATGGGTATTTTTACGCGTTATAATTTTTCTGAGCATGCGTAAAAAGTACCCATTTTATTGATTTGTTTTTGCTTCATGAGGCTACCAGTCATAAAATAAAGAACCTCTTGAAATCTTTGCAAGTATAAACCGAAATCATTGAAACAAGTCATATTTTTGTTATTGTCACATAATTATTGGAAAAAATAGCCATTTAAACATAATATTATCACCATCATCAACCGGTACGATGCAATCGAGGCTTTCCTCGAAGGGTGTTTTCGTCATGCAGCACAGTTCACTGCTGGAATCGATCCTTGAGGGATGTCGCTCATCGAATGGGTCCGGATGTTTACAAATATTAACTTTGTTTCTCCCTTCACTGGAAACGGGTTATATTTTTGTTATGCCAACTTAATCCTCATCATAATGACACTTTTGATTCTTACCTCGTAAAATTGGTACAGGACCATACCCGGGAAAACTGTACTGTTGTTCTTCTTTAATTTTGTATTCCGTCACAATCAACATCAGCCGGATGGAATCTATTAGTTCAATAACTCGCGTAATATTGTGAATCGAAATAATTTTGACCGATTTACAAAACACTTCACACGCGGAATCTACGGAAGCTCGATTCGCTCGCTTGCTAAAAATGATCGGACATTTTGCATTTTCACTATCATGACATCACATCGATCGAGCCACTAATTATTTTTACCCATTTTTATTGCATGTAGATACTTTCCAAAATGAATAAAAAGTACTCGCTTTCCATTTTTTGATAATACCCATGTTTTGACACTTCAGAATAAATTCAAAAAATGAGTACAAGGTACTCATTTACTGGGTACTTTCAAGTTAGCGTGCAGGGGTGTAAACCAAATTTTATACAGCGCGGTCAGGGAATGCACAGAGAAAAAAAAGTACCCTAAATTTAAGTTCTTTTTACTTAATTTTGGTTAATTTAGAGTTTTGCATCCCACTCTCACTTTTTGTTGTTGTCAAAAACGGAACGAGAGATTGGACTTTCTCAAGGCCGGCGCACAATAGATACGTTTTCGGGTTTTTTGACAGATAATGCATGGGCTAACTGTCAAAAAACCTGAAAACGTATCTATAGTGCGCCGGCCTTCATGACTATCGTTCAATAAGCTATTAGTGAGTATATGAGATATTCTCTAATTTGAGTCAATTGAACTTAATTTTGGGTAGAAAATACTCATGAGTAAGTAATTATTTTTGCCGTAGTCAAATGTAAACTACTATAAGCGGTTTACTCAAAATTAGCTTATTGAACGGAACATGGGAGATGAGTGAAAAGAACTTCATTTTGGGTAATTTTTCGGTTCCGTGGTGATTTCTGCAGCTGCACGCTAACTTGAAAGAAATCATTAATAAGTAAAAAATACCCATTTTGAAGAAAAGTGGCTTAACTCATCAATGATTAAACAATTTTACCCATTAATGAGTATCTGTTACCCATTAATGATTAACAATTACTCATTAATGGGTAACAGATACTCATTATTGGGTAAAAAAATTACTCATTTAATGAGTTAAGCCACTTTTCTTCAAAATGGGTCTTTTTCAACCATTAATGGGTACTTTCGCTAACGCTAACGTGGGTGACATGCCGCCATGTTATTGAAACCAACATCTGAAACGTCACAATTCCAGTGTGAACTGCAAAAATGGCGTGACTGAATTGTCTTATTTTTATCAAATGAAATTATTTTCCCTTTTATGCCATATAAATGATTGACTACGTGGTAGAAAATCAGAAAATAATATTTTATGAGTCCTAAGTTTATTTTTCACAAAATGTAGGCAAAAATGTAGGCAAAATGTAGGCAAAAATAAGAATATCCAATTGTTTACAAATTAGGAGCTGTCAGTGGGGCCCACAATTCGCGGGCCCGCAGCGATGTTAGCTCTTTTCAAGGCAAGGCAAACAAGATAGGAATGCCACCTGTTAAAGTATATGAGAGTGCACAGAGAATGGGACGAATTTCTGAGAGAAGAATCTCTCTCCAGAAGTTCTCACCACCAACCTATTTGAATAGGCTCAATACGAAGAGAAATATTATTTGAGAAAATCTTCTCCAAATAATATTTCCCAAACCCTTTTTCTTCCTTTTAGTTGGAGATGAAATCCACCACCCAATAACCAAACGATAATCTTTACTATTAATAAGATTTATTATTGGTAACCAAAAAAGTATTAGTCATAGAAGATAATATGCAAAAGTTCAAGTGACAATGTCTTTCTCAACTGATTTGTAGCTCTAGTGATGTTTATCTATCTACGCGGAATTCTGTCTGCTATAGCTTCTACCGTTTCGTGCTTTATGCACACACACTACTCTGCTAGTTGTTTGATCTCTGATCTCGTCTCTGAGCTTTCGTCATAAGCAGCCAAAGCTGCGAACCCTATTAAAAATAAATTGAATTCTAACACCTCCCCTCAATTTATCATTCCTGTCAAACTAAACAATTTTTGAAATTTAACTTTTGGGAGAGCTTTTGTGAACATATCTGCTAACTGTTTTTCACTTTCCACATATTCGATCTTCACTTGTTTTTCCTTCACCAGTTCTCTTATGAACATGTATTTTACGTCGATGTGTTTCGTCCGTTGGTGTTCCCTTGGTTCCTCAGCGATCCTAATACAGGGTATGTTGTCCTCGTAAAGTGTGAATGGTGCAAAAGCCTCAAATTCCAATATCAATCTGAATAAGAAATTAACCAGTAATAGACCCCCATACGGTACGAGAAAATACACAACTTAACAGCAGCAGTGACAATGTCACACATTTCCAGGGTCAGTCGTTTATAAACAGTTGCTACCGCGTCGTCAGCGATGCGCGCTGGCTTAACTAGGTGCTTCGCGAAAGGTCAAAGTAAACATTGATGAGTAAGCATCCTACATAGCCGTTCCTACCGCGAGGAGCATTAATTCTTGTTAAAAAAAACAGACACCGACTTTCCAAGAGAAAAACTATCTGTCTCGCTTTATATGTACATACTGGAGAAAAACTATTGTGTAGAGTTTAAGTAACAATTTCATGTATAAAAGGTTTCGAAGAATAAAGAATCGGGGCAGTTGTTCTGATGAGTTATTATCCGAGGTTTGCTAGGTGCGGACGAGCACAGTTCCAACCTCAGGATAACTGATTCATCAAAGAGCTTTTTCCATACAGTAGAAATGGAATTGCACTGTCTTTCATTTTACGGAAAAAGAAAGACCACGCGAGTTGTTGCTCTACGTTGGGCACTTCAACACGGGAGTGAAACATGGATGCGCAACGGAGTATGGGCGCTTCATCTGGTGACAGCGGAAACTAAACCGCTATTTTCAAGTGTTGGAACGCCAAAATTTCGACTGGCTAAAATCAGTAAGTGTTAAAAAACCAAAAAGTGACTTTGATTAAATTACAAAAAAAAAAAGGAAAAAGTGAACTAGTGATTAATAAAGAGTACAGCACATTGGTGCACATCTGGTCAACTATAAAGATATGGGGACTTCATCTGGGAACTTCATCGCAGACTCAACAAGGAATAACCCTGATCCTGCTCCTGATAGGGTGAGTACACAGTTAAAAAATATAAAAAAAAAATAAAAAATTGTGTAAAGTTCTGATACATTACCGTATTATAAATATTTTACGCGTACAATATTATA